AGAGTTTTGAACGTTTGAATTACTGTTTTCTATAAAATCCTATTTATTTCTTTGGGAGCTTGGCAAGAGTAAGGGTGTCTCCCTTGCTCTTCGATCCCTCAAGTCCGTGTAAACATTACCTTGCAGAATTGTAAGGATTGTTGTGTTTGAACCCGGGTCTACCACTTACCAGCTTTGTGACCTTGGGTAAACTCTTTAACTCCTATGAGCCTCGGTTTCCTCAAATGAAAAACGGAGATTCAATGAAATGATGCAGTTAAGATTTTAGCACTGTGCCTAGTGTATAAGTATCCAAAAGATGATGGGCTCATTGATAGTTATTATTGCAAGTAACAGTACATATGGATACTAAGAAAAAAACGGCCAGACCACCCAGGCTTTCTTCAGATGATTATCTATTTGGTACTGAAGTTAACCTCAAACCTCATGACCTGGTGATAGATTACAAAACGGGGTTTAAGAGAAAAGCGCAGGACAGCATGGCACAGTGGAAAATTCAGGGGGCTGAGCACCAAAACGGCCTGCATTTAAATCCTGGTTATGTTTCTTCTTCCCAGTTGCTTAAATCAGTCCTTCTCCCCGAGTTCCAGTCTTCTCATCGGTGAGCTGGGGATAACGATGCTCATGGCTGGGGCTGTCGTGACGTCAGAGACAGTCGGGGGAATGCCTGGACCGCTGGGCCTGGGAAGCTATTGTTGGATTAGGGCGGGAACGCTTGCCAGGAAGGACGGCCGGTAACGGAACCCGCAGCTAGGGGAAGGGGCTGCCTCTGCGTACGCCCGGGAGGATTAAAGCCAGATGTGGCGGCAGGGAGCCCGCCACGCTCTCAGAGCCTGCGGTGTGTTCACCCTTCCCTGCGACAGGAGACGAAGACGCCGCTCCAGACCGCGCGGTGACATTAAATAAAAGGGGGGCAAGATCTCACGATAGTTATATAGGCTGCGAGACAGCGCCTCTAATTGACAGCCAGGCGGACCACTGGCAGGAGGAGCTCGGCTGCGTGGGGGCGCCCACTGGCCCACCGCCCAGCAGCC